GCTGCACACTCCCACGGGGTTACGCTCGCCACGCTGCTATGCCATACTCCCGGGGGCCTCGACACACAAACTCACCCCCGCATCCACGCGCTCGCGCGCCGTCACTCCCTCCTGTGAGGTCCCACGGGGTCACACCCTCACGCCGTCACAGGCGGCGTCCACACTGGAACAGTGTCACCCAGCACCACACCAATCCAATAGGGTCACCACAGCCCACGCGGCGTCACACACAAACGCACCTGTCACACACAGTCGCACACTCCCCGGCAGTCACAAACAGTGTCATAGGCCCACACATCGCGCACAGCTTCACAGCCACAGTGTCACACACTCTACACACTCGAACCTTCACAGCAGTCGCCCCGCACATGCTGCACCCCCTGACCTCGCACATCATAATCACAGGGGGTCACAAACAGCAGCACAACAGAGACACCCACAGTCACACACTCGAATGGGGTCCCGGTGTCACACATCCTTACACGAGACATGTGGTGTCACACACTGTCACAGTCTAATAATCTCACGCTTCCATGTAGCACACCTCACACGTCCCACACCCTATCGTACAGGCTGACGCAGTATCACCCACGGTGTCACCACAAGGTCACAAAAGAACAGAATCAATGCTTGGCACACGTGGTGTCACACACGTGTAGTCACACTGTAACACGGGATCACACACGGAGGATGACACAAGGTGTCGCCCACAGTCATGCTTGCCCTTCCGGTCACTGAGTCACACAGGGTCATATAAGTGCATAGATATGCTGTGACACAGTGTCTTACACTCAAGTGCACACACACACTCTGTCCTCCCTCACTTTCTCCCCTTGCTGGTTCTGGGAGGCCCTAGGGCTTACAGTGCGCCCCAGATCGCTCCAGGCTCTGTGAGAGGGGGCGTGAGCTACGAGAGGCCGTGGGCGTGGCTCGCCTGGCCCCGCCCCTCTCCGGGAGGTAGAGCGCGGAGGCAGGACGCTGAGTGACAAATTATCTCGGCTCCGCCCACTCGGTTTGTTGCTATGTGGAGGCGTGGCCTTCTGTGGCCCCGCCTTCCGACCTAAGTGGCCGGCAGAGAGGGCAGTGCTGGGCGGTGAGCGAATGCGAGCTGACTCCTGCCCCGCCCACCCGCGTTAGGCCCCGTCCCTTGACCTGAGCCGCGGGCGGAGCTGGGCTGAGGCGTGGCCCTTCGAGCCAGCTCCGCCCAGTTGTTCCTGCTTGAGTAGGGCAGAGAGCGCCGCCCAGCAGCCAGTAGGTTCCCGCGCGTGCCGAGACTCTGAGGCCTTGCACCCCCACGACCTCGCAGGATGGCCGTCAAGAAGATCGCGATCTTCGGCGCCACTGGCCAGACCGGGCTCACCACCCTGGCGCAGGCGGTGCAAGCAGGCATGAGCCGGGGCGGGCGGGGCGTGTCACGGGACAGACGGGCAGAGCTTTAGGAAGGGGCACCATGGGGCAGGGCCGAGGCTGATTGGGGCCATGAGTGCCCCAGCCAGGTGTATGAGAACTCAGGGGCCAAAGCAAGCGGCCACGGGAGCAGAAATGGGAAAAGATGTGAGATCCAAGTTCATGTGAGTCCAAGCCAGAGGGGAATTGGCCCCGGGAACCCCGGGGGGACTCCCGTGGCACAGTCATGTGTAAGTCCAGAGCTCTTATGCAATGCAGTTGTCATTATTGTGGTTGTGGTGGTGGTTGTTCGCACACCCAGAGAGGATTTACTAAGCCAAGCTTGCTCTGTCATCTCTTCACATGAGAGCTCTCAAAATGGAGTGGGAACTAGTATTACCCTACTTGACAGATGAGAAAACTGAGGCCCAGAGAGTGACTTGCCCAACATCACACAGCTGGTAACTAACAGGGCTGGGATTTGAACCCAGCTCATGCTCTTAACCACCACAAGTCCCCAGGCTGGCAATTGAAAGAGTTGGGGGGTCAGGTTGCTGTGAGTACCTAATGGGAAGGAGTCACAGAGAAACATGAGTGAAGACTTGGGGACAGCAGTCCTGGGAAAGTCAATGAGGTCTGAAAATGTGGAGTTGCCCCAGGAGAGAGGGCAGGAAAGGGGATAACCATCCCCCAGCACTCCCTGCCCCCACAGCCCAGACTTGACCAACTCCCAGCTGGGCCTGGGACTTCCAGATATGGGGCCCCACCCTTACAGGCCTTGGTGACGCTGAAGATATTGACTATCTGCGTGCCCCAAAAGGGTGGAGGCCACCAGGACCCCACTCTGCTGTCTCCCTTGGAGGGACTCTGAAAGTTCTTCACTAGGTTCGAAACTCTTCCCTTCCCCAGGGAGACCCCGTGACGATCTTGACTTGTGGAGAGTGGGGAGCTGTGGGCCTCTCAGTAAAAACCAATTTGCTGATAAGCACTTACTGGGGGAGAAGGAAGTGAGAGAAGTTGAAAAGTGCTGAGTCACATGGAAATCCACTAATTCCACTTGCCCATCCCTGCTGGTCATAGCTAGGACTGCACTCAGGGGGATTAAGAATGGAGCCTAGGGAGTTTAAGAGCTGTGGCTCTGAAAAATCTCTTTCCAGCTCTCAGCTTTGATGTCCCCATCAGCAAAGGGAAGGGCTGGCCAGGCACAGTGGCTCATGCTTGTAATCCCAGCACTTTGGGAGGGCAAGGCGGGAGGATGGCTTGAGGCCAGGAGTTTGAGACTAGCCTGGGCAACATAGCAAGACCCCATCTCTACAAAAATATAAAAAATAAAAATAAATTAGCTGGGCATGCTGATGCATGCCTGTAGTCCCAGCTACTCAGAAGGCTGAGGTGGAAGGATTGCTTGAGCTCAGGAGTTCAAGGCTACAGTGAGCTGTGTTTGCACCACTGCACTCCAGCCTGGGTGACAGGGTGAGACCCTGTCTATAAAATTTTAAAAAATAAATAAAAAGAAAGAAAAAGAGGCCGGGTGCGGTGGCTCACGCCTGTAATCTCAGCACTTTGGGACGCTGAGGCAGGTGGGTCACGAGGTCAGGAGGCCTGGCCAACATAGTGAAACCCCGTCTCTACTAAAAATATGAAAAATTAGCCGGGCGTGGTGGCGGGCGCCTGTAATCGCAGCTACTCGGGAGACTGAGGCAGGAGAATAGCTTGAACCCAAGAGGCAGAGGTTGTGGTGAGCCAAGATTGCACCACTGCACTCCAGCCTGGGTGACAAGGGCGAAACTCCATCTCAAAAAAAAAAAAAAAAAAATTAGCTGGGCACAGTAGTACTTACCTGTAGTCCCAGGTACTTGGGAGGCTGAGGCACAAGAATCACTTGAACCTGGGAGGCGGAAGTTGCAGCGAGCTAAGATTGCATCACTGCACCACTGCACTCCAGTCTGGGTGACACAGCAAGACGAAAGGAAAGAAGGAAGGAAGGGAAGGAGGGA